ACCTCCTTCTTCCAGGCCCTATTTTAGGCAGGTTTTTTTTTTTTTTTTTTTTTAGGTTTATTTGAGAAGTGGGGTTATGGAGAGAGGGATAGGCTGAGAAAGAGAGAGATCTTCCATCCGCTGGTTCACCCTCTAAAGGGCCACAACAGCCAGAGCTGCTCTGATCCGAAGCCAGGAGCTAGGAGCTTCTTCTGGGTCTCCCATGTGGGTGCAGGGGCCCAAGCACTTGGGCCCTTTTCCACTGCTTTCCCAGGCCATTAGCAGGGAGCTGGATTGGAAGTGGAGCAGCCAGGACTCGAACCACTGTCAGGCAGGTCGTGAGTCCAGTGAGAGGTATTAACTTGGGCAGGGTTTGCACACATTTGGCTCTGTGGTTAACCTTAGTGCATTCCCGGCTTCATGCCTATTAGCAGTGCCTTCTGTTTGGGGTGGTGTTGGTTTGGCAGGTGGTTTTTCTTTTTTAAATTTTTTTTAAAGATTTATTTTATTTATCTGAAAGAGTTACAGAGAGAAGTGAGAGAAAGAGAAATATTGAGAGAGAGAGGGGTCTTCCATCTGGTGGTTCGTTGCCCAATGGCCACAATGGCTGGAGCTAAGCCAATCCGAAGCCAGGAGCCAGGAGCTTCTTCTGGATCTCCCATGTGGGTGCTGGGGCCTAAGCACTTGGGCCATCTTCCACTGCCTTCCCAGGCACATTAACAGGGAGTTGGGTTGGAAGTGGAGCAACCAGGACTGGAACCAGCACCCATGTGGGATGCTGGCATTGCAGGCCAGGGCTTTAACCTGCTGTACTACAGTGCTGGCCCCTCTTTTTTTTTTTTTTAATTTTAAAAATTACTTATTTTTTTGAGAGGCAGATAGGCAGAGAAAGAGACAAACATACAGACAGAACTCCATCTACTTGTTCACCCCTCAGATTCCCACAATGGCTGATGCTGGGTGGGGCCAAAGCTGAGAACGAGGAACTCAGTCCAGGTCTCCCATGTGGGTGGCAGGGACCCAGCTACTTGGACCATCACTTGCTGCCCTCCTGGAGGTCTGCACTAGCAGGAAGCTGGAATTAGAAGTTGGAGCTGGGTATTGAACCCAGGCACTCTGATGAGGGGTGAAGGTGTCTTAACCGACCTCCGAGCCACCAGGCTCGTGCTCACTCTGCCAGAGGGTTTTTCTTGATGTTTGCTCTATCCTCCTCTGTCCATCTTCCTTTTGGGCCCCATCTCAGAGAGTCTGACCCTGGCAATTCTCTAAACCATCATTTATTGTGCCTTTTTTATCTTTTAAAGTTGTATTTATTTGAAAGGCAGGGAGAGAAAGATAGAAAGGGAGAGAGAGAGAGAGAGATTGAGATCTACGACCAGCTGTTTCACCCCCCAAATCTGCAACAGCCAGGGCTGGGCCAGGCCACAACCAGGAGCCAGGAACTCCACCTGGGTCTCCCACGTCAGGTGGAAGGAGCCCAAGCACTTGGGCCATCTTCTGCTGCTTTCCCAGGTACATTAGTAGAGAGCTGGGTGAGAAGGAGAGCAGCTGGGATAGGAACTGGTGCTCATATGGGATGCTGGTGTTGAGGGCAGTGGCTTCTTAGCTCAGCTGCGCCGGCCCTTCCACTGCGACTTTGACCGGCATTTGTCTGCCTGCTGGTGCTTATGCGTCATCCGTGGGTGGCGCCATGCCCTGGGCCTCTATAGTGGGACCTTCCGAAGTGCTTCTGCTGCTCTTCCAGCTAGAAGTAGGCCCAGCACAAAGTCTGTTCCCAGGCCCCCACGGCCTGCCTGGAAGGAGGCTGACTAGAGGCAGGCTGCACTCAGTGAGTGGTTCGAGGCTTTGCCTGGTGGGTCTTGAGTTGGAAGTGTGGACCGAAAGTAAGGAACCTGGCAGAGTGTCCTTTGGTGAGAAGCTGGGATCAGGAGCTGGAGATGAGACGTGAGCCCTGGTGCCCTGGTGTGGGAGGGAGGCAGATGTCCTAACTCTCCTGGGTTATGTTTCTTTTTATTTTATTTTCTTTCCTTTCTCTCTCTTTATATCCAAAGATTTATTGATTTTATTTGAAAGAGTTACACAGAGAGAGGAGAGGCAAGAGAGAGAGAGAGAGGGAGAGAGGGAGAGAGGGAGAGAGAGAGGTCTTCCATCTGCTGGTCACTCCCCAATTGGCCACAGTGGCTGGAGCTGCGCTGATCTGGAGCCAGGAGCTTCCTCCGGGTCCCCCATGTGCCACAGCGCCAGCCCCGGGTTTACATTTCACAGTTAAGACTATGATCTGTTTAGAGGCTTGGATTTTTTTTTTTTTTTTTTTTTTTTTTTGACAGGCAGAGTGGACAGTGAGAGAGAGAGACAGAGAGAAAGGTCTTCCTTTGCCGTTGGTTCACCCTCCAATGGCTGCCGTGGCCGGCGCACTGCGCTGATCCGATGGCAGGAGCCAGGTACTTATCCTGGTCTCCCATGGGGTGCAGGGCCCAAGTACTTGGGCCATCCTCCACTGCACTCCCGGGCTACAGCAGAGAGCTGGCCTGGAAGAGGGGCAACTGGGACAGAATCCGGCGCCCCGACGGGGACTAGAACCCGGTGTGCTGGCGCCGCAAGGCGGAGGATTAGCCTAGTGAGCCGCGGTGCCGGCCTTTTTTTTTTTTTTTTTTTATGAGGTGTGGATTTAGGTCAAGTTTCATTAGTCCAGCTTGGTTTTGTTCTCACACACCTGCTTTGTGCTGTTGTTGGGTTGTCGACCCAGTGCTACGTTGTACCCTTTGCTGTCTGACACAGTGGCTTTTCAAATCAGATAAAAAGGTGGAGAGCAGTGGGCCTTACAGTACAATAGGGGAAGCCGCTGCTTGGGTAGCTCCCTTCTCACACCAGAGTTGGAGTCTGGGCTACTCGGTTCCCAGTCCAGCTTCCTGCTAATGCTTACCCTGAGAGGCAGCAGATGATGGCTCAAATACTTGAGCCCCTGCCACCTACCTGGTAGACCTGTGGGGAGTTCTTGGCTCCTGACTTGGCCTGGCCCAGCCCTACCTGTTGTGGGCATTTGGGGAGTGAACCAGTAGTCAGATGGAAGGTCTGTCTCTTCAACTCCCTCTGCCCTCTTTCTCACCTCCGCCTTCCAACTAAACATAAATTAGAAAATCCTTTTTAAAATAATAAAGGACAGATAACAGGCACCTGTACTGACTTAGCATTATGTCGTGTCTTCTACTCTGCTTGTTTGTCCTGAGAGCTTCCTGGGGTCTTTCTTGTGAGGCAGGTGCACCAGCAGCAGAGAGAGCCCTACTTTTGTCTGTCTGGGAGGGTCTTCACTTCAGCTTCGTTTTTCTTTTCTTTTCTTTTCTTTTCTTTTCTTTTCTTTTCTTTTCTTTTCTTTTCTTTTCTTTTCTTTCTTTCTTTCTTTCTTTCTTCTTTTTTTTTTTTTTTTTTTTTGACAGGCAGAGTGGACAGTGAGAGAGAGACAGAGAAAGGTCTTCCTTTGCCGTTGGTTCACCTTCCAATGGCCGCTGTGGCTGGTGCACCGTGCTGATCCGAAGGCAGGAGCCAGGTGCTTCTCCTGGTCTCCCATGGGGTGCAGGGCCCAAGCACTTGGGCCATCCTCCACTGCACTCCCGGGCCACAGCAGAGAGCTGGCCTGGAAGAGGGGCAACCGGGACAGAATCCGGCGCCCCGACCGGGACTAGAACCCGGTGTGCCGGCGCCGCAGGTGGAGGATTAGCCTATTGAGCCACGGTGCTGGCCTCGTCTTCACTGTTCAGACTTATTGGTTGGGTCAGTGCTCCCGGCTGCCCAGAGTTCACTGAGCACTTGGGGGTCGTCACCCCCACTGCCCACCACGGCCTCAGTCTTTGGCTGTGGGCATTTCTCCCACGACGTGTCGGCGTGGGGGTCTTCCGCCTTTTATCCACTTGAAACTTGTTGAGCTTCTGGCACGTTGTAGGTGTTGCTTTGCAGTGGGTCTGGGGGATTTTCAGCATTCGTTTTTCTCATTCTTTCTGCTGCTTTCCCTCTCTCTGCCCCTGGTACTCCCACTTCACACATGTTGGTTAATGTGGTCCCATGTTCCTCTGTAAGGGACCGCGTTCACGTTTCTTCATTCTTTTCTCCATGTTTAGCAAGGAGTCATTTTATGTGAGTTTCTTGCCTTGGGAGCCCCTGACCACGCAGGTGGCATGAATTTGAGCCAAGTCGGGGGGGGGGGGGAGCACAGACCGTCATGGTGGAGCTTCTGAGGTCTTCAGTGAGACATCCCCGCCGCATTTGGAGGCTGACACAGCTTCCTTCTCTTATCCCTTTGTCCGAGCACGCGCCCCCTCCCAGGTAGCTGTCCTGTTCCCCACTACTCCCTCACTTCCCAGGATAGGCCCCGGCCATGGCCCTTCCCCCTACTCCAATCCCAAACCGGTTCTGTGCAGAGTTGACCATGTGTGTCTCAGGGCTTCCCAGGCAGAGCTGGTAGCTCCTCGGGAAACTCACTTTAGACGTTGGGACTTTAAAATGGCTGGTGTCCCCAACAGCCGCCTCTTAGAATAGAGAGGACCTCGGGAGGACGCTGCTCGGGCAGCTCGCAGGCGAGCACTTCAGAGGGGCCTCGGCCTCAAAATCTGGCAGCTTCGGCCTCGCAGTGTGCTGCTGCCTGTAGGGACCTCTTTTGGACACCCACTCCTGTGCATGGGGCAGCCCTGGGAGAACTCTGGCCCCATCTGGCCGACTCCTCTGCATCCCTGTTTGTCCCCCGAGGCCCAGGCCCAGGCAAGAGGGTCTCGGCTCCTTTCGCCCGTAACGCAGACTTCTGTGCACGTGTGCCCCTGCAGGTCAGACGTGTGTCGACATCAAGGACAATGTGGTGGACGAAGGATTCTATTTCACCCCCAAGGGGGATGACCCGTGCCTGAGCTGCACCTGTCACGGAGGGGAGCCTGAGATGTGCGTGGCCGCCCTCTGTGAGCGGCCCCAGGGCTGCCAGCAGTACCGCAAGGACCCCAAGGAGTGCTGCAAGTTCATGTGTCTGGACCCAGGTGAGGCTCTTGGGGACGTTGTAAGCCGGCCTCCTTGTCCATGGCCGAAGGCTCCCCCATCCCCTTGCTTCCTTAGTGCAAGTTGTGTTTATCTACTTAGTTGAAAGGCACAGGGAGAGGAGAGAAAGATGGTGTGGGAGAGGGAGAGAAAGCACCTGACGGATCTTCCATCTGTTGGTTCCCTCCCCAAATGCCCACAACGGCCAGGAATGGCCCAGGCCGAAACCAGGAGCCAGGAGCTCGGAGCGGCATCCGGTTCCCCTTTGTGGGTGGCAGGGACCCAAGCCCTTGGGCCGTCCTCTGTTGCCTCCCAGGCTACGTAGTAGAGGAAGCTGGTTGAGAAGTGGGAGTGGGACTGATCCCGGTCGCTTCCCTGGTGCAGGATGTGGGCGCCCCGATCAGTGGCTTACCCTGCTGCACCACCATACCCACTCCTTTCTCTCTATCTCTAAGATTCAGAGCTAGGCTTTCAATTTCTGTGCACGGTTGAGCTCTTCCTGTCTTCTGTGTGAGGATGTGGAAGATAGTGACAGTTGTCATGCAGATAGGATCTCTAAAAAGACTGAGATTCCTCTCCGTGTCAAGGTCAAAGTCTTCACGGCTCAGTGGCCCTTGTGCAGGACTCTGGTCACCTGATGGAGGAGATGAGCACGTGGGCTCCTGCTCACTGGGCCCTTAGCTCCCTGGCCCTCTATGTGGCTTGGTCAGGGCTGCGTATCTGTGCTGTCCGTTCAAAAGCAGGTCTGTTTCCTGGGTGGCCCAGTGAGGGTGATGTGGCAGGGGCTTCTGAACCTGGAGAACAGCGTGTGGGGTGGGTGAGTGGATGGGGGGTTGCTCTCTCCACCCTGGGGGTCCTGTGGACGAACGGCTGGCGTGGTGGTGTGTGGGCCGCAACAGTTAGGGCTGTCTTTTGGAGAGCATGTTGTGAGGCTCCTGGTGTGGTGCTGTAGCCAGCCGACTGTGGGGAAGCATGGGGGTGTGTTGGCAGCTGAGCCCCCAGGGGACACACACAGCTAGAGTCGAGTGAGGGTGGTGCTCGGGCCACCCCGCACCCCAGGCTCAGCAGTGCTCTGCTTGCATAGGTGCAACTGGTTGGGTGCTTACCGATTTTCCGAAGTCCCCAGCCACGTCACTGCCAAACCTGCAGTCTGGTTACCTTCCAAGTAGGTCAGACTGTCCTTTACTACCCACGCGGCCTGGATTCCTGGTTCTGTGTCTCAGGAATCCATCCCGGTTCTGCCTGGCCACTCTGTCCAGGCTTTGTAAGAGTGTATATGAGGATACCTCCTCTGTGGGTGAGAGCGGCTTCTGGAGCCTGCCTAACTCTGAGGACCTAGGAAGGGCTCAGAGTCGAGCTGCCGGGGTCCCCTGCTGGGGCTGTCTCCCAGGGCCTGCCTTTGGGACGTCCTTGTATTGCTCAGGGGCTCACCTGCTCCTCAGGGGTAACCATCACAGCACCCTCATTTTTATTTTTTTTAAGATTTTTATTTATTTATTTGAGAGGCCCCCAAGAATGATGCATCTTTTGCAAGCACTTAGATGCAACTATAACTTAGGAGACGTAAGAATATCCTCCACATAATACATTAGGAGAAAGTAAGTCCTTGAGAGCAAGTTTTATCATTAATTAAGGAAGCACCTTAGAAAGCAAGGAATGGGGTTGGATACTTAGGCACAGCTAAAACTTACGAGACATAAGAATATCTTCCACCTAATTCCATAAAATGAAATAAATCTTTGAGACCAAGTTTTACCGCTGTTTCCTAATACAACTCTTTGAGAGAAGTTAGTGCACAGTGACTCCTGTTGTTAATTTAACAATTAACACTCTTATGTATGACATAAGCGATCACTCGAGGCTCTTGACATGAGCTGCCTAGGCTGTGGAGGCCTTTTGAATCCACAAACTGTCAGTGTTTAGACAAGGCCATAAGCAGAGAAAAGTACCTCCTTTTTTGGTGGCCGCTTCTTTCCACTGGGTCTCACCCACAGAGGCCCTCCAGGTGGGACGTATCCGCCACAGAGTCTTGGCTTTTTATGTTGGGCTTATTTTGGTCATCGCGGTGTGGATTAGGAGCACCTTGTGATCTCTGAGCTGGGCAGCAGTTACTAGGCTGGGGCCCTGGCCTCCCGGGCCGAGGGACTTCCCCCACAGACCAGGATGGGCCTCCTGGGCCGATGGACTTCCCCCACAGACCGGGATGGAGTGTTTCCTTGAGTCTGCAGGAGGGACCAGAGGCGGCAAGAAAAGCAGCCAGTCGAGGGATGGACATGACCTTGCCACATGTCCACTTCACAGTGTTGTCAGCAGCAGGTGCAGCTTTTCAAGGTGCTTTCTGCCCCTCTGGGCGGAAGGCACGGGCAGACTGTGGTCACCTGTGGCGGGTGGAGTGGCCTGGGCCCAGGGAGTCCTGCCCCTTCCGTGTGGGTCCTGAATGGTCTCCCGGGGCTGGCTGTTGGGGACCTGCCTGTCGAGGCTGGCAGAGATGGCAGTGGCCCGCCCTTGCTGTTGCTGGAGCTCAGCCGGACCTGCCCGCCTGGGGTCTTCTCGCTTCCAGGAGCGAGCTGGCCACTGCTGCTTCAGAAGTGCCTGTGGCCGCCACTGTCTGCGTGGCAGGTACTCCTGGTGCCGATTCCTGACCCGCGAGTTGCCAAGCATTGTGGGCACTTGGCCAGGAGAAGTTCTCCTCCCTCGCACCTGCTACCACTCACACCCGTGCTCTCCTCCAATCAGCAGCTCCTAGGGAGCCCCTAACCGCGTGTTCCTGGGCAGGGCCTCCACCCTGTCTTAGACCAGATGTGTGCTGGGAGCAGCCTCCCTGGCCTCCACCTGCTCCGTGCTCATGCGCCCTCAAGTGGCGATCCCAGAAGAATGGGAGGTCAGAAGCCTGGGAGGGGCTGGAGAGGCGCCTCAGCTGCTCCCCCGCCTCCTCACCCCGACTCCGGAAATGGATAGGACCAGGGCCGTGCAGCCTCCTCTTGGCCCTGTCATTTCCCGGGGCAGCTGGGCCCCATCACTGAGTGTGATGCTCTGTGCACTGTCTGCCCCGCACACCTGTGTGGGCTCGGGGCAGGCTGATGTCTGGCCCCCTCGAGCAAGGAGGGGGCAGGCGGTGGTGACCCGTGCACAGCAGGGCACCCGGGGCAGGCGGTGGCCCGTGCACAGCAGGGCACCCGGGGCAGGCGGTGGCCCGTGCACAGCAGGGGCACTCGGGGCAGGCGGTGGCTCGTGCACAGCAAGGGCACTCGGGGCAGGCGGTGGCCCGTGCACAGCAGGGCACCCGGGGCAGGCGGCCCGTGCACAGCAGGGCACCCGGGGCAGGCGGCCCGTGCACAGCAGGGCACCCGGGGCAGGTGGTGGCCCGTGCACAGCAGGGCACCCGGGGCAGGTGGTGGCCCGTGCACAGCAGGGCACCCGGGCAGGCGGTGGCCCGTGCACAGCAGGGCACCCGGGGCAGGCGGTGGCCCGTGCACAGCAGGGCACCCGGGGCAGGCGGTGGCCCGTGCACAGCAGGGCACCCGGGGCAGGTGGCCCGTGCACAGCAGGGCACCCGGGGCAGGCGGTGGCCCGTGCACAGCAGGGCACCCGGGGCAGGCGGCCCTGCAGGCGTCGTGCCCGCTGGCTCCACCTGTGCTCCCAGAGCTACTTGGACGCCCGTCCTGGGACAGCACTGCACCCCAGCTCGGTGGCAGTCAGGGTGTCCATCTGCACGCAGCAGCTGCTTGGGCTCTAGAGCCAGGATGACCAGGGCGAGGGAGGCAGCCCCACAGGTGGCCGTGGCGTGGAACGTTGCTCCGGACCTGTGATTGGCTGTTCTGCTTCGGGTGCCGTACAGCAGTCCTGGTTTTTGAGCGGTTCCTGTTCCCTGTGTAAGGAGTCTGGAAAACGAATGTGCCTGGTCTGCTTCCCTGGCCTGGGGGGAGGCTGTGGCCTCGCCCGGCCAGGCGCATTGGGGGTGGCGGGGAGGCCAGAGGCTCCTTTGCTAGAGCACGGCCCCCCTTCCTCTCCACGTCACAGATGGCAACAGCCTGTTCGACTCCATGGCCAGCGGGATGCGCCTGGTTGTCAGTTGCATTTCCTCCTTCCTCATCCTCTCGCTGCTGCTTTTCATGGTCCACCGGCTGCGCCAGCGGCGCCGGGAGCGCATTGAGTCCCTGATCGGAGCAAACCGTGAGTGCCAGCGCGCCTTCCCCGATGGCTGAGCCGTGAGGGTGGGCCACCCGCCAGAGACACTGGGGGCCGAGGGGCGGCTCAGAGAGCATGGCGGCCTCGCCGGCCTGTGCTGCTCAGCCGTGCCCAGTAAAGATAGCGGGGTCACCTGTGTCTGTGGCTGACCCTGTCCTGGTGCGGGGCATCAGGTCAGGCTCGAAGGCTCAGTCTCCCTGGGGCCCTGGCTCCTCTGGGCCACGGCTGTTCCTTCCGACCCTGCTCGTCCGTTCTCCCTGAGCCGTAAGGGGAGCAGGGACTCTGTGGGCCAAGCCCCCAAAACACAGTGCCCGGCCGGCTGTTCCTGCAGGCCGAACGTGGCCTTGCAGGGTCGGGGGAGGGCTCGGGGGCCAGGCGGCCACCTCCAGGTACCAGAATGTCCCTGTCTCTCGGCCTCAGTACACCACTTCAACCTCGGCCGGAGGATCCCTGGGTTTGATTATGGCCCCGACGGGCTCGGCACGGGCCTCACCCCGCTGCACCTCTCCGACGACGGCGAAGGCGGCACGTTCCACTTCCACGACCCTCCGCCTCCCTACACGGCTTACAAGTACCCGGACATCGACCAGCCCGATGACCCGCCGCCGCCCTACGAGGCTTCCATCAACCCGGACAGCGTGTTCTACGACCCTGCAGGTGCCCCCCGCCCCGCCAGGGAGGGATCCCACGGCCGCACAGGGCGCCCAGCACCCCCTGCTTGCTCTGGGCCTTCTGCACTCCTCTCTCATTTGCTTCTAACGCTTCTTGCAGAGTTGCCTGGGCACAGGGCCCTGGTCGCCTGCCCTGGGCACCTCTGGTGGATCTGTGCAGAGGGCTCTGGGGAGGCCTGGGGAGCCCCCCCCCCCCCCCTCACGGGGCTGTGTGGCTGGGAGAGGGTGTCAGGCCCTGCACATCTGCCCCTGTGGCCGGGCGCTAACCCTGTGGACCTTGCTGGTGTCCCACGCCTGTTCACACAGACCCTGTGTGGCCGGCCAGGAGCAGTGCCATACACGCTTAGGGTCAGGTCTGAGGGGGCCGCCTGGGGCCTGCTTACCACCCCCTAGACGAGAGGAGGGAGCGCTGGGCAGGAGGTGTCCCCAGTTGTGCCGGCTGCAGCCAGGCCTGCGCCCCTGACCCCACCTTCTCCCGCAGATGACGATGCCTTTGAGCCTGTGGAGGCCGCCCCGCCCACCCCAGGGGACATCGGCAGTGACGGTGCAGCGCCTCGGCTCCTGGAGCAGCCGCCGCCCCTGCCGGGGGCTCCCCTAGCAGACTTGGAGGACTCTGTCGACAGCAGCAGTGCCCTGCTGGTGCCCCCTGACCCCGCCCAGGGTGGGAGCACACCAGCCTCAGAGGCACCGCCAGGAGGCGGCCACCACAGCCGCAGCTCCCTCAATACCATGGTGTAGACAGCCTGGCCTGTGGCCCCCGTGGGCTGGGGGCACCTGTTTGCTATGACGCTGGCCCCTGCGGGGGACTTGAGGGCCCTGCTCCGCTGCCACGCACCCTGGCAGGCGAGTGCGTGTGTGCGTAGAGACCAGGACCAGCCTCCCTCCGAGAGAGGAACGAGCACCTGCACTGAGTTCCCTCGAGAGCTTCAAACACATGTGTTGCTTTGGGTCACTGTCTCTTTGAGTGGCAGAAGCATGACAAGGTGGCTTCAGACCCCAGGTGTCAGAGGTAGGGAACCAAGAAGGCACTGACGGCGGCTGTGGCCAACCCGAGCTCATCTCTGGGGGGCTTGCTGGTTACAGCTCGCCATCCCTGGAAGCCTGCCCGCTGGCAGCCCCCCATCCAGTGCCTGGGGTAGGCAGGGCGTGGGTGTGGCACTGGCACCCGCCAGGGCTGGGCAGGGAGGGGCTGCCTCCGGTGAACACCTGGAGGTGGCTGCTGTGGACGCCAAGGGACTGGTGGTGCAGAGAGGAGGGGGCAGCTCGGCCAAGCCAGCGCCAGGGTGGGACGCCCAAGCCCAGCCCACGGCCTCTCGCTGACATCGCAGTGCATGGCTCCCCAGGCTGCGGAGCTGACTGGGGCCCCAGACCCCCACTGGGGGTGCTCTGGAGCCTCGGGGCCCCGCCTCCTGTTACTCTTGCCCCTCCCCACCCTGCCATCTTGTTTGTGCCATGAAGGGTGTTTCCCGGCGGGGAGGGTGTGCGTGGCTGAAGCGAACACCCTGGGCCGTGCCCGCCTCCTGAAAGCTCACTTCCTGCCCTGCCAGCGCTGGAGCCTGTGCCGCACGCGCCCCTCCCCACCCCTCGGCAGCTCCGGGTGCTGCCGCGTGCCCCGGGCGTGGCCTTGTGGCCTGACACAGACCTTTATTTAGCATTTCTGAGGTTTGGAGATGAAGCGGGTTCTGTGCGATTTTTAGCACATCCATTTATCTTTTCTACGTTGACTGTCTGGATCGTGTGTGTGTGTGTGTGTGTGCGCGCGCGCACGTGTGTGTGTGTGTGTGTGTGTGTGGCCACGTGTTTGCAGGTGGGAGTGGTACGCAGGGACTGGGGTGTGGAGGGGGCCGTGTTCCGCTTGTGAATAGCGATGGCGAGGAGCAGCCTTGCGGCCCCTCCCTGCACTGCCCCTTCTGGCACATGCTCACACGCGGGCTGGAAGCCCATTTCTGCCTGTGTAGAAGGGTGCCGTCGAGTTGCTGCACGGGCCTCACCTTTCCTGAGCCGGCCGGCGGTGTGGGTTTGGTCACTGAACTGTTGCGTCGCTGGCAGCCCCTCGGGAGGGCTGCTGCTCCCTGGAGAATCGCCCTGGCCACAGGGCGCCACAGTGGCTGCTGAGGACGTGTGAGGACATGGGCCGTGCCCCCAGCCTGTGCTGGGTGCAGGGTGGCCGCCCGTGAGGGTCTTCCTGGTGCCAGAGACCACCCCAGCGCAGCCGCAGGGGCGCCTGCCCTCAGAGCACAGGCCAGGCGACAGGCACAAGGATGTGGCCCAGGGAAGCTTCCCTGGGGACCGAAGGACATTGGAGCGTCAGGTGTGTGTGGCAGGAGCAGAGCCGGCGTGGGGGCTGCGGAGGGGGTGCTTGCTCAGGACGGGTCCGGGGTCCTGGCCAAGGGGCTGTCTGGGGGCTCCCTTCCCCTCATCAGGCCTCACTGCCGTCCCGGGCCCTGGCACCCTGGTGCAGGCAGGCCGACGGAACTCGGTGGGCGGCAAGATGTGGCTTCCTGGGAGAGGCGCTCCCCACGCCGCCCCAGGCCGCCCCAGGCCGCCTCAGGCCGCCTTGCCACTGGCCGGCTGACCTGCCTTGCGGAGGTGGGATTTGATACTGTACATCGTCTCAAATGCCTGTTTTTATGTTTTTCCTTTCACTAAGGGTTTTTAGTTTGGGTTTATTTTATTTTATTTTTTGGTTGGGTTGGCACTAATCCTTTTCTTAAAATGCTGTGAGAACCATTACATCCAAATGCCAAATAAACTTGTGTTCTGGACGAGTGTGTGCAGTCCCCAGCGTGAGCTCATCCCCAGAGCTGCTGGAGCCTGAGGTCGGGGGGCTGGGGCTTGCCTTGCAGCCCACAGCAGGCATCTGGCAGACCTCGCCCCCCCCACCCCGCCCCGCCCGCCCAGGCAGGCAGTTAAGCGCTGAGCTGAGCGTCAGATTGGGTATGTTGTCTCTGGGACGCATACCCTGCCTGAGGTACTGGCTGCTCAGCTGGTGTCGCACAGATGGCAAAGGCTGCCTGCCACCTTCGGTTTATCAAGCCTGGGCATCCTGCTGCCCAGCAGGGGGTGCGGCTGTGCCCAGAGATGCCCCCTCCAGCGCGCATGACCGCCCTCCAAACACCACGTCATCGTCAGTAGGGCGAACTGGAAATGCCCTCTGCCTTCCTTGATGGTCTGAGAACCTGGCCAGGGCCTGTTGAGCCCTGAGCTGCACACCTGGCCACGGCTGCTGGCCTACGGCCAGACCAGAAGGGCTGAGGACTGGGACCCCCCCCCCCCCGGTCACGTTCTCCAACAGTGACCTGTACAGTAACGGGAGAGCACCTGAGAGACCTAACCCCGGGGTGGGGGGCTTCCGTCTTCCCTTCCTGTCCCTGACCCAGCCTCTGGCTAGCGGCAAGCTGCCAGTACAGGAGTCGCCGCCTGGGGGCGCTCCAGGCCTACTGAGGGGAGCTCTGCTGCGGGGCAGGCGAGGGTCAGCATCAGCAAAGGAGCTGGGGAGCCCCGGGGCGGGGGGTGGAACCTAGAGGCGGCGCCCACCCCCCTTATTTCTGAAGATGTCTGCTGAGGCAGGGCGGTTCTGGGCGTTCCTGCCTGTCCATTCTCTCCCTGACCTGAGCCGTCTTTGCCTGACGTCTTCAGGTGGTGGCTGTTTCTGACCGTGCCCCTCAGCTTGCACCGAGATCTGCAGCAGCCTCAGGAGGGCTCAGGGTCTCTGCTTCCCCCGGATCCTCCGTCCATGCGGCTGCCCCGTCCTTCACCCTTTCACCCTGGTGGGCGTGCAAGGGACTGTGCCGGGCCTGGGGCTCAGCCCTGGGGCCGTGGCAGGGCCCCTAGGACCTAAGCAACCCCCTCCCACAATACACGATGCAGAATGACCTTGGCCCGAAGTGCCTGGGGGACGGGGTTTAGGGCGAATCCTGCCCTTGCTCCACTGAGTGCCTGCCCATGCAACTGGAGAGCCCTGAGCCAACCCCTAGTCCACCCAGAGCCCCAGCCCCGCTCTGCTCCTCTCTCCTGGGAAGACTGGGTCCCCACCTTCAACCTTACACATCGCACCTGGCTCCTGGAGCAGGCAGAGGAAGGAAAACCAGCAGATCTTAAAAACGCCAGCATTTGGCCAAGATTACGTATTTTACTCAAAAAACAGGGCTGGGCAACCAACCGAGGGAAGAAGCTGTGGCGGCTTAACTGGCTGAGTGCGCATGCAAGCTGCCCTGTGAGTGCTGATGGGCCCTGGTGACACAGGCCAGGGGTGGGGACACTCCAAAAATCAGCCTTCGGGTCTGAATGTAGCTGGTCTTTTCCGGGGGGGGGGGGGGGGGAACTGGCATCCCGCTGTGTCGGGGTCAAGTGAAAGTGTAAGTGTCTTTGGGGTCATTATCCCAAGTAAAGTGGAGTCCGAGGGACGGTGACAGTATGAGGTTCTGTGCGCCAGTGGCACTCAGTGTCCGGGGAGACGGTGGGCTGGGCTGTCACTTGGGTGACACTGTCTTAGCTGCTCCCGTGTCCCTGGGGTTCGTTGCTTGGTGTGTGGGTGACAGTCCCAGTGGTGGAGTCTGCCGATTCTTCAAGGCCATCAGAGGCGGGGACCCTGCGACCACGTGTCCAGAGGCTGGGGACAGCCCCCTGCCGACCCTGCCCTCGCACCCTCCTGGAGCCAGGCTGCTTCTGGCCCTGCCAAAAGGAGTCTCCGACACACCCCCTCCTCCCAGGCCCAGCCCCGATCCAGCCCGGACCCAGCCCCCTGGCTATGCATTCGCCGCACCCCTCCGTGGGCAGTCCCTGGCCTCTGCGGCCCCGCCGCCCTCCTCCTCCACTCCCTAATGTACACCACAACGGGGCAGGGCTCTCGCCCCCTCCCGACGGCACCAGAACCCCTGGGCTGATCGCTCCGGGCACGCGACCGCCCTCAGTCCCCGCCACCTGCCGGGGCGCCGGGCGGCACCGGTGTCTTCTTGAGGTTCTTCCGGGCCGGGGCTCGGTTCGCAGCGCCGTCTGCGGGGCCGTCGGGGCCATCGTCTGTGGATCTCGAGGCAGCCACCAGGGCGTTCACGGTGCCGAGCGCCCGCAGCAGGCCCGGGCCGCGGAGCGCGTGTGCGCGCGGGGCAGCGCGGGGCTCACGGGGCTCGCGGCGCGCGGGGGGCGGCGGCGGCGACGGCGGCGGCAGCAGGGCGCGCAACGCGTCCAGCTCGGCCCGCAGCTCCTCCCGCAGCGCCTCGAGCCCCGCGCCCAGCTCGGCGCGCATGGCCGCCAGCCCCTCCTGCAGCCGCTGCTCGCTCACCTCCAGGACTCCTGCCGGGTAGGTGGCCCCGCCGCGTGGCTCCCCGCACACGGAGCACACGGAGCCGCCGCCGCGCGCCTCGCTCTTCGCGCTGGGCCCTTTCGCCTCCGCCTCCATCGCGTGCTCCGCCAACCGCAGCAGCCGCGGCGCCGCCTTCTCCCGAAGCTGGCCTCGAAGTCGGGCCAGGCGGCCTGGGGCCCGGGCGTCCTCCTGGCCCGGCCCGTTGGGCTGCGCTGTGGGCTCCCGCCGGCGGGCAGCGCCGCGCCGCAGCGCCTCGCTCGCCGCGTACGCGCTGCGGGCCTGCACCCACTGGCGCCCGGGCTCCGCCGCCATCCGCGCCGCCGCCTCCACCGCTGCTACCGCGGGCTCCGGGCCTGCTCGGGAGCCCCGGCCCGCAACCTAGCGACCGCGGGCCCCTGGGACGGCGCTGGGAACGACTGAGGGCCCCGAGGGCGCGTGGGGGTGTGGGTTCGTCCCGGGGCCTGGGGAACCCTGGCAAGGCCAGGCCTCGGGGACGGCTGGCGTCTCTAGAGGCCCTGGGGTTCGCCGCTGGCAGGCAGGCGCTCGTGCACCGTCGGCGGGTCCCCTCCCAGCGGCCTAGGCCGAATTGACACCCAGAACCCTGGGAAAGCAGCCAAAGATGGCCCAGGTCCTTGGGCCCTGCACCCGCGTGGGAGACCCGGAAGAAACTTCAGAGCGGCCCAGCTCCGGCTGTTAGAGCCATTTGGGACATGGAGCAATGCCCCCAGAGTCGGGATAGGAGCTCGCCTCCGTCAGGGCCAGGGGAAGGCTGGGGGTGGTCGTCGGCCCCACAAGCCTCCTCACTGGCTCAGGGCCGCCTCCGTCCGTGTCGTAGCCCAGGCCGCTGTTTCCCTCCCGTGCTCTGCTGCCGTCCACTCACAGCTAGCTGCAAGGAACCCGATCATTCCTGCCACGCACACAGCCGACACTGAGTGAGGCCTCTGGGGGTTCTGCCCATCTCACACTGTCCACCCAAGCCCCCCTCCCCCACAGCTCCCATGTGTAAAGTGACTGCTCTCTGTCCACCAGAAGGGGCGCATCCCTGAGTTTAGGGCCGGGTCCCAGCAGAGCCAAGCATTCAATGGCGTCACACAGGCCTGATGTTGTGTGAAGGACCAAATGGATGAATGGGCTTGGGATCCTGTATCCGTTTTATAACAGGGGGCTGCAGGGCGGAGCTGGGTGGGACCGGCCTCCCCCGCGGGTTGCTGACTAACCCCCTGGTCCTCAGCCTGGGGTCGGGAGGCTCAGGGCCCTGCTGGCTGTCCTGTCCTCGGAGGTCTCTTACCACCGCACCCCATCCGTTCTGACCCCAGTGCCTTTGGCAACAGTGTCTGTGCCCATCACAGCACCATAGGCAGTTGGCTGGAGGCGCCCTCTAGAGGGCAGAAGCCTCCCCGCCCCCTCACACACTCAGCGTGTTGTTCTCACTGCCCCCATCCCCCGGGGGACTAGTTAGGACTTGGTGCTCTGGGGCCTGGGGCCTCCTGCAGCAGATGGTGGGGAGAGAGGGAGGGCCTGGGTGGGGTGGATCCAGGTGAGGCTGGGAGGGGACACAGCTGCTGGAACCTGCTGGAACCAGCAGAGGGCCAGTGTGGCGAGCTTATTGGGGTGTGGGGTGGGAGTAGGGGTGGTGGTGGGTCTAGGGGTGCTGTCAACTCTGTTCTTGGGCAGCCACACTGGAGAAGTCTGGGTTCCCTCGGGTTCATTCACTCCCTGCAACCTTTCAGGAAAGTGCAGAGGGAGTGCAAATTAATTCTGACTCCCGCTCCCTCTCCGTTCCTGCTGAGTCACCTATCTCTAGCTCCTGGCTCTTCTGATCCCTGGAGCCAGCCGGTGGCCCAGGGGCTCTGCCCTCTCCCAGTCTGCCCCAGTGAAATGAAGCGACCCTGAGATCCCCAGGAGAGGGTGGATGGGAGAGGCAGCAGGGGCTTGGGCAGAGCAGGCTGCTGGCTCCATCGTCTCTGGCTGATTTGCTCCTGCAGGGGCTGCAGGGGTGAGGGGTGGGTGGTGCCTGTGGACCCCAAAGCCGCGAGTTGTGCAGGTGCAAGGGGGAGGGTGACCCTGAGGAAGGCTGCAGAGCTGTGAGTGAGGGTGAGCAGGTGCAGGTGGGCTTTGTGAGACGGGTGCCGGAGGGCAGGTGTGAGCTTGGCCAGTTGGAGGGGTGGCCTTGGGGCTGATCCTGGAGCCAAGGGTCCACGGTGGAGGCTGCGGCTCCCCAACCTGGGCTTCTGCACATGGCCCTGTCCCCTCCACTGGGACTGGGCTGCTTGCCCGGGAACATTGGCTCCCAGCTTTGGCCTGGCCCAGTCCCAGCTGTTGTGGGAATTTTGGGGAGTGAACTAGTGGATGGGAGCACTTTCTCTCTCTTGCTCTCACTCTAGCTCTCTCTCAAATAAAAAACAACAAAAAAATTTTTTTTGGTATAAAAGAACTCCAAACCCTTGATGTTATCTGATCACCCAGTAATATCTGATCGGTCCCTCATCTCCCATTGTCCCCTAGGTGGCGCTGGTGTGCCTGGCCGGCCTGCTGCAGAGATGCTGTTGGCTCAGTCTGGCCAGACTGCCCCGCCCCCCCAGGGTGTCCCCTCCCCTCATTTTCCATCCACTGACCCCAGCGGGCCCCTTGGCTGTAAATTTCCACCTGACAGGGGGTTGAGCCACCTCTCCCCACCTCTCTGAAGCCAGGAGCCAGGAGCTTCTTCCAGGTCTCCCACACGGGTACAGGGGCCCAAGGACTTGGGCCATCTTCTACTGCTTTCCCGGGCCATAGCAGAGAGCTGGATAGGAAGTGGAGCAGCCGGGATTTGAACTGGCGCCCATATGGGATGCTGGCACTGCAGATGGCGGCTTTACCTGCTCTGCCACAGTGCTGGCCCCCTCATTTATTCTTTAGCAGTGTATGGGAGGCATCTGGGAGGGATACGCCCTGCCAAACAGCAGCCTCTCTAGGGTTCCCCCTCCCTTGCCTGCTGAGCCATGCTAAGACCCTCTGGGTGTAAACCTCACCCATTCCTCAGTGGAGGGACCAGGCAGGGGCGTCTGTGTGCTGGGTTAGCTCCTGCTGTCAGACAAAGACCCCGGCTTTGGGTCTGCCCCTCCGTGACACCCACTCGCTCAGTGCTGAGTGTCCTGACCACTTCCTGCTCCGGGCCCATGCACATCCTGCTCCTGTTGGGACGTGGTTTGTACACCCCTCCTGGAAGGGCCTTCTTGCCCCCTTGCTCCTTTGCCAAGCTGCCTTTGTGTCTTTCTACTTCTTGGTATGCAAGGCCCCTGGCCTCTGTTCCCTTTTGGACTGGGAGAGGGACCTCGCGTGTCCTCAACACCAAGCGCCCAGCACACAGCAAGCATGCTATAAATACTGACCACCATCTGTGCGAAGATTGTGTAGGTATTCAGTAGGCACTCAATAGCTGTTGGCTTCCTAACGGCTGCTGGGCTCATGTGGGTCCAGGTTCTGGGTGCTGGTTGCACCTCCATGTCCCCTGCCCGTCTACACCCTGTCCGGGAGTTCATCAGGGAACACCAGGGTCCACACCCAGCTCTGCAGCTCTGCCGCATCTGGCATTCAGAGGGGCCGAGGAAGGGGACAGGAAGGAAAAGTGCACGTGGGGCCTGGGGAGGGCACTGGAAGGGGGGCACACGGGCAGTGTGGCAGCACTGCAGCTCCTCCGGTCTTCTACTTTTCTTAGTTTTTTACCTCAAGAGGCAGAGATGGAACCTCCACCTGCGGTTCTGGCATCCCATAAGGATGCTTATTCAAGTCCCGGCTGCTCCACTTCTGATCCAGCTCCCTGCTGATGCACCTGGGAAAGCAGCAGAAGAAGGCCCAAGTGCTTGGGCCCCTGCACCCATGTGGAAGATGGCCCAAGTGCTTGGGTCCCTACACCCACATGGGAGACCTGGAAGAAGCTCTTGGCTCCTGGCTTTGGTCTGGCCCGGCTCAGTCCTGGCTGTTGTGGCCATTTGGGGAGTGAACCAGTGGATGGAAGACCTCCCTCTCCCTCCCTCCCTCCCTCCCTCTCTCTCTCTCCCTTTAAAATAAATAAATAAAATTTTTTTTTGACAGGCAGAGTGGACAGTGAGAGAGAGAGACAGAGAGAAAGGTCTTCCTTTGCCGTTGGTTCACCCTCCAATGGCTGCCGCACTGCGCCGATCCGAAGGCAGGAGCCACGTGCTTCTCCTGGTCTCCCATGGGGTGCAGGGCCCAAGCACTTGGGCCATCCTCCACTGCCCTCCCGGGCCACAGCAGAGAGCTGGACTGGAAGAGGAGCAACCGGGACAGAATCTGGCGCCCCGACCGGGACTAGAACCCGGTGTGCCGGCGCCGCAGGCAGAGGATTAGCCTAGTGAGCCGCGGTGCTGGCCAAATAAATAAATCTTTAAAAAGAGGCAGAGAGACAGAAAGAGTGTTCCCATCCGCTGGCCCGCTTCCCAAAGGCCTGCAACAGCCAGGGTCCTGGGGCTAGGAACCCAGCCCAAGCCTTTCTTGTGGGTGACAAGGACCCAATTACTTGAGCCCTCACTGCTGCTGCCTCCCAGGGGGTTGCTGGCAGGGAGCTGGAGTCAGGAGCACAGTGGGGAATTGAACCCAGGCACTCTGCTGTGGCACATGGGCATCTCAACCATGGGGCCCAACACCACTTGCTCCCCATTTCCACCCTAACTCTTTTTTTCCCCCTTAAGAAGATTTATTTATTTTGTTTATTTGAAAGGCCAGGTTACAGAGAGATATAGAGATCTCCCATCCACTGGTTCAAAAAATCCCCAAATGGCTGCAACAGCCAGGGCTGGGCCAGGCTGAAGCCTGGAGCCAGGAGCTTCTTCCAGGTCTCCCATGTGGGTGCAGGGACCCAAACGCTTGGGCCATCTTCCACTGCTTTTGCAGGTGCATCAGCAGGAGGTGGATGGGAAGTGGAGCATCCGGGACTCGAACCAGCGCCCATATGGGATGTCGGTGCCGCAGGTGGAGGCTTAGCTTACTGTGCCACAGTGCCAGCCCCAGGATAAATTTTTCTAGATACCTGTGCTCTTGGCTTCTTAAAATCCACACAAGCCATTGGGCCTTTTGGTAAATGTTTTCATAAGTTGATACACAGCAGTTCAAAATTCCTTGCTAAGGTTTCACTAAAAATTGTTACCAAGGATAAGAAATAATTCTAAGTCAAAATACCAAAATTAGAATTTTTTTTTTTTGACAGGCAGAGTGGACAGTGAGAGAGAGAGACAGAGAGAAAGGTCTTCCTTTTACGTTGGTTCATCCCACAATGGCCGCTGCGGCCGGCGCACTGCAGCCGGCACACTGTG